TATTTAGAGTAGGTATGGATCATGTTAACGGAGCTCCTCATTTTTATTAGAAAGAATCAATTTAACGTTTTTTTGAAGATTAAAGAGTTTCAAATTTTTCAATTGGAATTCCTGACTTTGAACTCTCAGAATAAAAACCAGAAGAAGATTGTTATTTTGATGATTTTTGGATGTAAAAGTTGGAAATCTGGATTTATTAATGACCATAGTAAGCATCTAAAAGTTCTTAAACACCATTGTTTAGTACATAATAAGGTAATTAATTAATAGAAACAAATGATACTTCTACATTTGTTTATGGAATTGTAAGTAATTCTATCTTATAAGTTAAATACTATGATAAATAATCTGTTTATAATTATTTAAGTGCTAAGCTTGTTTATTCTATTCCTGGAAATTGTAATATTACAAATAATTTACAAAACATCTATGTGTCTAAAATGTTTTTGAATGAATTAGCAATCAAAAACTCAAGTATTATTTAACTTAATGTCACATTAAACTAGTAATAAACTAAACCATCCCCAACATTTGTTGTTGATGGATTAGAATTCAGCAGCTTTGAAAATTTTTGAAGCATTTCCAAAATTGAAATGATGTTAAATAATTATTTTTGCTGTCTAAGATGCAACTAAAAAATGGTAAAAATGAGAATCGAAATGAATTTGAAATTCATATGTTTCTGAATTAAGCTTTTGTTCAATTCCATAATTTTTCAGCTATTATTTAAAAAATAAGAAATCTATTGAATTACTCTTTTTGTTATTTACAAGTAAATTAGTGTTTAAAAAGAATGGAAAGAAAAGTAAATTGAAACTGTAAAATTTATCTATGATACTTTACCAAATTTTTTTTAAAAATATAACAATTAAGAAATTAGAATTATTGCTGATAATAGTAAAATAGCATCAAGTGATAAAGGGATTGATAGAAAACCTAAAAAGAACTAAGTCATTGGGTAGAGTAGTGATTAAACTACTTAAAATAAAAATAAAATACTTAAGAATATTTAGATAAAAGAACGTTAGATCTCAATAATAAAAGTCACTTTTAGAAATTATAAAAAACTTTTTCAATTATGAAAATTGGCATCTAAATTCAGAACTACCAAAAAGAATTAATGAAATGATATTTGAAAGTGCATTATTGTCCTTATTAGAAGCTGCTTTTAGATCTTGTTTATTATTAGAAATGTCAAAAGATTTTGACCTTATTTAAGTTATCATTAATTAACAAAAACATTAGCAAAACATAAAAATTTGACTCCTTTATTGTTAGTGATTCCTTCTAATGATATACCAAAACAGATTGAATCCATGGCTGAATTATGAAGTAACTTAAAAATATAGTACAAATATTCTTATAATGTTTGAAAACAAATGAATTGTCAGAGAAGGATTAGATTTCAAAGTAAATAGCTATATAACTTTGGAGACAGACACATTTGTTTAAGAAGCAATAAAAAGATTTTGAATGCAATAAATCAGATGATAGAGGAATCAAAAGAACATGATTTGTAGGTGATATTCATTTACTATTAAATGAATCTTATAGATTATTATTATAGGATTTAGGATTTGATTATGTACTCTTTAAGGGATAAAATCAGTGATATCAACATTATTATGAAAAACAAATAACTTAAGCTCCGATACCAATTCCAGCTAAATTGACTCATTTAGCATAAGAGTTTGCAGATATGTCTAATTAATTACCAAATGAACATTCAAATTCAATATTTGTAAGAGCTAATAAGGATAGAGTAGATGCAATAAAAACATTAATAATAGATGTATCTGGAACACCTTAATCTCGTGGAGCTTATTTTATTGATATATATTTTGAAGATTAATATCCAATAACTCCTCTAAACATGAATTTATCAACAACTGAAGGTGGTAAAGTAAGATTTAATCCTAATTTATATGCATGTGGAAAAGTATGCTTATCATTATTGGAAAAATGGAGACATGCATCTGAAAATTGAAATCCAAAATTATCAACTCTTTACTAAATTTTAATATCAAATTAAGCAATAATAATGCCAGAGGATATTTTTTTAATGAACCAGGATTTAATGGTGAAGCAGATTAATAGGATGGAGAAATGAAGAATGAGGGATATCCAAATATTGGTAAATTTGGTAATATATTATATGCAATGATTGAAAATATTAAGAATCCACCAGATTTGAATCAAAAATAAGAAGATATTTTTTAGAAGAGGATTGAAATTATGGATGAAGTAAAAAATGGATACACTTTGCAGAATAGAGATGAGCGATATATATGGGATTGATGAGTGATCACAATAGTCAATGGTGTTCAATTTTTAAGGAATCTAAGAGTGAATATTTAGATATGTTGAAAGATGCTACTACAGAATTGGAAAAAGCTTTAAATAGTTTTTAGAACCCCAATTGAATCAAAGAAGAAAAAGAAATAATAAGAAAAGCAAGTAAATGTCACAAAAGCCATAGAGGGAATACTGAATATAGATGTTACCTATAGTATAACATTTAAGAATAAGTAAGGTTATGTTTATTAAATATATTATATATAAATATGATTAATTATATATACACAGATAGAAAATATATATAGAGATGTATTTAATTATAATATACATATAAAAAATAAATTTGATATATATAAAAATAATTAAAATAACCTTTTTAACTCAAAAAAAAAAAAGAATATTATTACATCAATGCAGAATGTGAGCAATGAATAAGTGATAGATGGAGTATATTCATAGGAAGAATTGGAACAGAAGCTGTTCAGAGACAAGCAAATGCAAAAGTATAGGATTAGGATCATTGGCTGTAGAAATAGCTAAAAATGTGGTGCTTGGGTTTGGGGTTGGGTTTGGG